CATTTCTATAAAAAACATAATTAATTAATTATAAAATTTTATTTTGAAATTCGTCACGGCAAATAAATTTTTTTTCATATATTATGCGTTCATTCAAGTTTTACACCTTACGCCTAATAAGTTTTAATAAATTTCATTAGAGGAGTCCATAAGTATATTTTAGTATTTCGATTTAATAACCCAAAAATAATAGTAATTTTTCAAGTAATTTCATTATTACTTAATTTTATTTTATATGAGAATAATTTGCAATTAAATTATGACGATATTAACGAATTACTCGCAATATTTTCCAATCATACAAATTATTGCTGTTTAAATAATAAAAATTAAATTTATTTTAATAAATAAATTGTTTTTTCCGCGAATAATATTTAATATTTAAAGATAATATATATTATAGAAAATAAATTTTTGTTCAAAATATAAAAGAAAATGAAAACGATAATTAATAATTACATAAATATTATGAAGGTATGTCGTGTCGTTTCAATGTTGTAGGTCGCTATAAATAAAAATGTTTTAAAAAACAAAAACGTAAATTATTGTTTATTAAATAGAAAAAGATAGAAATTTAGTATATAGCGCCTCGGAAAATTCTAAAGTAAAAATAAAATTAAATTTTAATTATTTTGTTAAATAGAAAATGAAAATATTTTTAACCTTGAATCGTGAATGTTTATATTTTTCTATTTTTTTTTGTTTATTTTCATTTTGGCCAAGGGTCAAAATTTATTCATTCTTTGAACTAAAATCTTTATATACCGAATTAGAGAGATTCGAATATTTAGCATATGTATGTGATTTTCATGTGAATATAGATATAGGGCAAATGTAGAACTTGTAATATCTATAGAAAATTGAATAGAAAAAAAAATTTCGCCATAAATTTTTTCTATTTTTGAATTTTTATACTATCCACTTGTAATAGTATGTAAGAATAGCGCGCAGAAAACTATTTTTAAATTTTATTTTATTTTTTTTTCGAATAGCTGGTCTTATATCGATGATTTTTTGTTACATTCTAATTGCATAATATTAATATTTTTAATGAATACTAAAAATCTATAATAAATAAATAACATTTTGTTTTAAAACGTAAAAAATGATTTTAATTTTACAAATTTATACACGCGAATAGGGTTCTTGGTGTTATTCTTATTACACTTCAATAGCAAAAGTACTGGTTCATTGCACCATTGAATATATTTGTGGATCTACACCTACAAATCATGTAAATGTTTTGATCAAATTTTTTAGGTATTAAAGTAGCCAATTAATTAAAATTTCTATCGCCTTTTGAGTTGCTGATTTAATTTCAAGAATTTAGTAATTTTAACAAAGTTTCAAGACAAATGTGACATAATTTCCATAATAAATAAATTGATTTCTTGCCAAAAACGTGTATAATTAGTGGAAAATTTAAATACACCTATCACCCAACTTTATTCAAATCAAACCGATCCAATGAGTGTTTGAAATTCTTATAATAAAAAAAACCAAATAAAAACACTCTAAGTTTCTAAAGGGTGAATTATACCCTGCCCTTGACAATTGAAATATAAAATAGAGAGAGATAGTAGAGCCTCTCATAATTGTGCACATGACTGAGAAAATTCATGAATGTTCTAACTTTATTACTTTTCCGAATGTTTAAAATTTACTTTTGGAGTTGCATGGCAGGTTCCGCAACCAGTGCAGCTGTTCCATTAAAAATTTTAAAGCATATGAAAAATGTAATTGGATACACGTATGCAAATTGATATGCACAATTGAAAATTTTAAAATAATTTTTTGAATTGTACGGCAGCTACACGAAATCGTGGTCCAAACGGATCCAATCACAATAGGTACCCCATGGTTCAAGAACTTTTATGTCGTTGGCACAAAAGAAATAACTTGTGAAAGTTTGATGGTATATTTGCTTTATTCGTTTTTGAGTTATCGGGCGGACGGACGGACGGACAGACATATTTAAATCAACGCGGAATATATGTCCACACCGCAGGAAGCTCCTTCAACTACTTACAAACTCCGTATCAAAGTTAATATACCCTTCACGAAGGTGCTGTTATCATTGTATATGTGTTGTGCTTTTAAAACTATATTTTATTTATTTGTAGTTTCTTAGGGGTGAGCTTTATATTTCATTGAATACAACTTTAGTCTTACATTTAGTAGGGAAATGGAATATTCTAAATGCACAAAATTGTAAAATACACGAGCCTGTACAAAACGCTTTAAACGTATAACACTCCGAAGTACATCAGCTTACAAAATATAGTATTTAGGATCAATAGTATAATACCAACAATAGCAGATTACGTCTTGCTACTTTAAAACAGAGAATTTCAATAGAAGACCGCGTTTCCTTTACAAGTTACTCCAAAATGAGTACGCAAAGTGTCAGTATGATTTATTGTATGTATGTAGAGATCAGTTTGACACCTAAGTTTTTTAATATCTTCTCCTCTTCATTGTTTTATCTAAGATAACACATTTTATATGCATAGAATTATGCAAACAGTTTGCGTTTACTTAAATCTAATTACATTTTTGATGTTTACTTTAGATTGCTATTTATTTATACGGTTACCAAAATAATTTTATTTTCAAAAGATTTTAGTTTATTATGTGCTTATATAACACGACCCCAAAAAAAATGTAGGTAAAACTTTATCAAATATTAACTACCACAAGCTTAATGTAGATTGTTTCAGTGAATTTACTTATTATTTTAATCATTTTATTAATTTATAATATTTAAATTATAATAAGACTTAATAAGATATCATTCTGGTAGAATTGAATTTTTAAAATTGAATGAATTTTATGTAATATTTGAAACCAAGTGGGTTATATGAAAGATACTTTATCTAAGTGATTTAATTTGCTTTCAAAATGCATTAGAAATTGTTATAATAAATATATTCGACTTTTCATTAATCGACCGTATGTGTGCTTCATCAGAGTTTAAGAATTATAATCAGATTACTAAATTCAAATGGCTTCGCAAAAATTCTAGTTTAACAAAATATCGAAATTCCCAATAATTACCTTTAATTAAGTAAAACAAAATATTGACCTTAAGATAAAACTACAATAAAAAATAATCAGTGGTGCATTATTAAAAAATTATTAATACAATTAATCCTAACAAATAATATTAGAACAAAAAATTAATGCATTAAGAAATTTTTATCCAATATTTCTGCTCACAATTAGCAAAGGTAATTGTATTTTGTACACAAACATAAAATTACTTACTTCTAATACAATAAATTGTTAAAAGTTTAAAATTTCAATTCGCCAATAACGAGATCACAGCTAATAAAAGTAATTTTCAACCGTTTCCAATAAGTATTCAACACCAGTTTTAACATCAGAATTAAAGAAACATCAAATTAAGACTGACTACAGTTGCTTTGGATCCCAATTTTAATTGAATCATGTTAAACACATATTCATGTTCTCAAATTATTCTAATAAAATTTTTTATTAGAATTAAAAATATTAAATAATTTTTGTTCTAAAAAGAATCGTACCGTACTACTTTTAACTACTGGCACTCATATGACAATAAAAACGTTAATTATTTCAAAATACAAAAATTTAATTAAATTTTACGTTTTTTTTTTTTGTTTTATAAAACACAATACAGAAAAAAAATAACATTTCTTTTATTTTTTTTGCAAAAATTTTAAATTTCTTTTATAGCTAATAATTAACTAAATAAATAATTAATTTAAAAGTATTAAGTTTACAGTAAAACCCCATTATTTCAGAAACAAAATTTATTAACTCGTTTCATAAAATTGTTGTTCTGTCATTAAAATATTATAAAAATGACAATAAATGTTTTAAATATTAATGATATTTAAATAAAATTATTGAAACACAATCTGTAAGATTTAAAACTATACCGACAAAGGGACGACCAGACCGTAAAAATAAGAATATTACTAATAAAAGGAAACAACTGACAATAAAAAAGGAGAAAAAATAAAAACAAACAAGGGAAAAACAATACAACAAATTTAATTTACTTAAAAGTCTAGACCTAGATTTAAGAGTAGTGAATACAATTCAGATCAATAGGATGAACTACCACAGAATTAAAATTAACACAACACAACATTCTAACTATTGTATATATATAAGTTAGGAAATCAATAGTGAATACTCATAATGTGCCCAGCACCAACTATATTGCCTTCTACTGTATTTTTTTTTTTTGTATAACAATAAAACGATTCAATTGATATGATTAAACAAATCATCTTTTAAATAAATATAAAAGTTAATAAAAACCTGTTATAAATTATTTATCTTCTTTGAGACTGACTCGTATATGATAATGAATTCTAGGAATGTTACAAAGCTATTAACTGCTATAAATTTTTTAACCTTCTTCTTATTATTATTTTTTTTCCGTCTTCTGCTATATTTTTTTATTTTCTTTATATTTTATTGAAAGTTTTGAATTGCATTGACAAAATTTTTTTTTTATTTATTTTATTTTATTTTTCGGGTTTTTGTTTATTAACACTAATTTATTATCCAAAAAATAAGTAATTAAAAACTCAGTCAGTTAAATTTATAAATTCGACTTAATAAGTCACAATATTTTCCATATAATTAAACAAAATTTAAATACTTAAAGAGTTTTCTTATAAAACACTCTCACAACATAAACCACATTATTAACAAAATCACAATTAATATCATTGGAATTTTATTCATATTTTATAAGCACAATGAATATAAGATGTTTAAATTTAATGACAATAATAATAATTGTTATCGAAGTAATAAGAACTGAAGTAAGTGCAGTAAATATAAATAATCCAGAATTAATATTAATTAATAATGGCATTGATAACAAAAATAATAGTAATTTAATATTTGGTGATAGTGTTGGCAATAAATTTTATAAATATATAAAAAAATATTATTATAAATATAAAAATTTAATAATTGATGACATTGATAATAGAATAATGTGTTTAAATCATATTCAAAAAATTGAAGAAAGTATTCGTAACAAGGAATTATGGGCTATGGAAGGTAAATAATAACTGATATGGATTTAATAATTTAATTATATTCAGTTGGTAAGCTTAAACTTGCATTATATGTACTTAAAATATAAAATTTGAAAAATATTAAAAATTGATTTGCAACAAGCAAAAATTTATTTCATTCTTAAGTCATAAATTTCTAAATTTATTTTTTGATTTGTTAAAATGAGACCGATATAGAAAATTCGCACTCAAGAAACAGGCCGATTTAAAAGAACTTTTGTAATTTTCTTTAATATTTTCCTATTTTCTTAACTTAAATTCTTTATTAACTATTTCAATCAAGATAAAATGAAAAATTTTAGCTTTTTAAAAAAATAAAATTTCTTAATGGCTCAATAAAGTTATTTACAGTGTTGGGAAACAATGGACTTTCTCTATGTTATAGGTTATAATAACATTACAAAATTATTAATTTTATTACAAATTTCGGATTTTTGTAAAAAAATCTTTATATCGTATTTTTTAAATTGTTTTTGATTCATCCCACTTATGAAATCATATTTTAAAATCTACATTTAATAATATACTAAAATTAATGAGAATTTGTAAAATAAACAATAATCAAAAAATAAATTTCAATATGCATTAAATTTCGCATTGAATTCGTAAGATACTTTATCAAAAAAAAAAAATTATTACGTTTCCCACGGTAATGATATTTTTTTTTACTTAAATCTAAATCTTTAATAAATTAAAATTTATACTATTGGCCTCAGTATTTTACTTTCTTGTACATTAATTAAATTATTAATTTATTATACAAATATTTAAATAGTACTTTAAATATCTTAAGAAAGTACACGTATATTATGAAATTTATCTTAATCAAATTTATCAGTACTTATATTTTCGTTTTTAAGCATGATTTTCAGGTAAATGGATTTAAAAGTTATTGAGAATTCAATTCCATTTTGATTTTCAGATTAAATTCATTCAATATTTTCAAATTTAGATAAATTTAATTTCTAGCAAGTTAGTTTCTCATTTTTCAACCCTGCCTTGCGGAAAATATTATGAGAAGTACATTGTTTAGATTAGAAAAATCTGTCTCTGAATTAAAAGCCGCAACTCAAGTCAAGTATTAAAGTACAAATCCTCCTAATACAAATATTTCATATTTCATTAATTTTGTTGCTTTTATCATGCATCCTGAAGAGTTTTTACTTATCAGATTCTTAAAAATAGTATTTTTCATCAACACAATCTAAAATTAAAACAAAAATATTTAAATAATGTGACGTATGGCATAACATAAAAATTAATATTTACGAACATCATATTGAAAATATTTTTTTAAACTCCCAAATCATTGTCATTTTATTTCAGTTATTGATTCATGGGGTACATTTCAAACACCCGGTATATTATATGGACATTTATTTGAAATAGGAAATTATGAAGAATGTTTAAATATTTCAATACAAATTGCTAATAATAAAAATTTCGAAGTAATTGAAGGAAAATATTGTCAAGCAGAGATTCCATTGGAAAATTTACAAGAATTAATAGATTTTAAATCAGATTTTATAGATCCATTACCAAAATATCATTTAATTCCAGCATCATCAGGTATATAAATTCATTAAATCAAAGATAAAAAATTCTTATATTTTTCTACATAATTCTAAAGCATTATTTTTTAGGAATTTCTTTTGGAATTTGTATACCAAATAGCTGTTCTCCAGATTATCTTAATTCTATATTAAAAGAATTTTTAAATAATTTAGTAGGAAGTAAAATTAATGATGAAACAAATGTAATTTTAGCAAATAGTTGTAAAGGAAATGAGAAGATAATATTTCGGCCAATAGATTATGTCGCCATGTAAGAAATCTCTAATTAAAGTTAAATAGTAATTCTGAGTTCTTCATTATTATTTTTAATGAAGGAGCATTTTAGGATTAATAGCATTTTTGGTAATAGTTTCAACCGTATACGATTTAAGTTTTGATTCAATGAAAAAAGGAAATGGATATTCTAAAATTTTAACAGCATTTTCAATTAAAAAGAATGGGAAACATTTGTTTAAAATCCAAAGTAATCATGACGATCATTCAAATCATATTCATATTGAATGTATTCATGGTATACGAGTTTTAACAATTATTTGGATTGTATTCCTGCACGAGTACACATTTTCGTATGGATTGAATTTTATTAATCGAATCGATTATGTAAACGTAAGTATATATAAACAATAAGAGCCTCTCTATTTCTTTGCAATGAAGTTTGAGAAGAGTTCTATTTTCTATGTCGAATCCTCATTTATGGATGCACTTTTATCCTCATTTATGGAATCCTCAATTATGGATTATGGATTATTTTTTTCTGTATAGTGGTCCCGAACACTCTATTCAATGGTTATACAATTTGGAAATATTTCAGTTGATACATTTTTTGTAATAAGTGGATGTCTATTAACTTTAAGTGCTTTTAAAGAAATGAATTTCAGGTCCCAATTCTAACTTTAATTACTAAAGTAAAATATTTATTTATCCAAATTTCAGAAATGGAAAACTTAATGTTCCATTAATGTATTTACATCGTTATATCAGATTAACACCATTAGTTGCAATTTTAGTTTTAATTATGGTCAGTTTATATCGTTATTTTGGTGATGGACCATATTGGAATCCAAATCATATAATTGATTTATGTGAAAGAAATTGGTGGTCAACATTACTTTATATACATAATTATGTTCATCCTGGTCAAATGGTAATATTACATTATATAATAACAATTAATTATGCAGTTTTAATAGCTGTTCTTGTTATTTTTAGTGCTTAGGACATTCATGGTATTTAGCTGTTGATACACAATTATATTTTATATCACCATTATTTTTAATAATTTTATGGAAATATAAAGAATATGGTATGATACCAATTATATTGGCAATTGTAATATCTGCTGGATATATTTTTGAGGAAACAATGCATTTTAATTTTCATATGAATCCATTAGAAGTGTAAGTATTTATTTATTGCAATCATAGTGAGTAGGTATATATTGCATTCGATTAGTTTTATATTGCCTCTAAACTATTGTGTAAATTTCCTTTCTTTTTAGGGTAATTATTTGATATTTTCACATATACGTGTCTTGATTTTTGATATTTCGTGCATAATTCGTTACAGTTCTTAACGTAAATTTGACTCAGTTCTGCTTCCATTTCACCAAACCAGCATCTGAACAGAACTTTCAAATTACTGAACTATAATTAGAGATATGCTGTTGAACGTCCGGAACGTATTGAATAACTAAGTTTTACATCTTAAATCTGTAATTTACTGTCGATATTATGCAATTTGATGCTTTTAAATTACTATTTTCTCTGCATTTGTTCATGCACCACATGTACAAATTTCTTGCAAATTTGCATTGCAATTTTAAAAAGCACAATCAATCATAATTGAAAATGTATTCGTGTCCACCAATATTCACTGAAAACTATATTTTCCAAAAGTAGAAGAAAATAATTAATCAATTCAAATGAAAACCATTAATATTTTTATATTTTTCTTTAATATTAAAAACTAAAAGATCACCTTTGCAGCTCGAAAATGGTAGAATTTGTAAAACTACAAATTCAATGTAACCTATTTGATCATTATGTAGGTACTGAAGAACAGAATTAAGAAGTTCTTCTATATTCTATGTATCTTCAGTAGATACAATTTAATTTAAATACATGTATAGCATTAAAAAACAAAAATTATTTCAAAATTTAATAAAAAACTTGTTCATATTTTTATACAATAACAGGAATGAAAACGATTTTAGAAAACAAGAACTAATTTATTATTCAACACATTCGAGAATATCACCATTTATGGTTGGCATTATACTTGGCTATTACATTTATAAATATTGTAATGAAAAAATTAAATTATATAAACCAATTGTTATAATGGGCTGGTTTTTATCTATATTAATTATAATTGCTATTGTATTTGGACCTTATCATCGTACATTATATCAGCCGAATTCTGAAACAACGGTTATTGAAGTTGCACTCTATGAATCATTATCAAGATTATTTTGGTCTATAGCAGTATCTTGGATAATATTTGCATGTCATAAAGGATATGGTGGAATTATAAATAAAATTTTATCATTTGGAATTTGGCAACCATTAGGACGTTTAACATTTAGTATTTATTTAAATCATTTACTTATTCAAATGATTTTAACTGGAAATTCAAAAACTGATTCAAATTTTTCTAATTTAGATATTGTAAGTACCAACCTATACTACCTACATATAATAAATTATAATTTATATTATTTTATAGATTTTAAGATTTTGGAGCAGTTATTCAATAACATTATTAATATCTATTTGGACAGTATTAGCTTTTGAAAAGCCATTTCAAGAAATAGAAAAAATTCTTTTTGGTAAATATTTTAATAAATAGTCATTTTTAATCATAATGTTTAGCTAAATCCAATTAAAAATTGTATAGTAGTTAGTAAGTAATTAATGTAAATAAAATAAGAATAAAGAAAACTGACCTTAATTGAAATTTTAATGAAGCCATCGAGTCTGCTGAGTGCTTATGCTACATAATGTGTACGTATGTATGTACTTGCCAAAGATGTATATGTTTCTAGGTATGATTATAGATTTTCCAAATCTTCAGTATTACCCCCGGAGAAGGCATGATTATCCAGCTCATACGCATATTGTACACATGCATATGTACACACATATGTAAATAGGCAAGTACTAATATATAAATCCTGGTACCCAATTTCTTCAAATTCTTTATTTCCATACCGTTATCTTAGTACCTGTAATTACGTTTGTATGTAATATAAATTACTGTAATTCATGAAATATCTGAATTATTTTTACATTACCTCTCGCATTTACCCGCTTCAAAATGAATTGTTTTTATCCAAACTAAAAAAAAGCCTTAGAAACACAATAAATCATCTTTGAATTTATTTATTCATGAATAGTAATATGGGAATAAAAATACTCTAACAATTAAATCTATTTATAATATTAATAAAATATTTTTATAAATTATAAACCTTAAATCACTTTTTCATTTAAAGAATTTTAAATCTTTGACTGTCGAGTCAAAAACCAGGTGGCGCATGCATAGTCTGATTGATTTATAATTTAGTTAAAATTATTGACAATACTTTACGTAAACTTTCACGTTGCGTGAACTTAATAGGTTTTTGTACGTACGCTTACATTCTTAACAAGGCTGCAATAGCTCTAAAGACAACAGTTTCAATGTACACCAATATTTTGCATTAGCTGTCATTTTCTGTGTTTGAGTAAAAACTTTAATTTTAAATAGTTAATCACAAAATCAAAGTAATATAAATTGTTTTAATTGTGACAGGAAAAACTGTTCTGCTGGTTTGTAGGCTTTTGTAAATTAACAACAAAGAATACGGAAAACTTCGTGTTTTTTTGTTTAATTGTATAATATTTTAAATGTTTTTAAGTTTCTAATTTGTTAATTCAAGGGTGTACAAAGGAGATGAATAGGAAGTAACAACGTCGTGGAATTTTCTTTTTTGGAAAGTGAATATCGTAATATTTATCCAGAGTATTAAAAATCTTAATAGCAATTGATAATCTTACGTATTTAAGATTTTGAAAAGCGTTTCATATAATAATAGTTTTGACAACCTCACATAGCCTTTCCTAAACGGAACGCTTATGGTTGTAGCGAATTTAATATAGTTCTACCTTTAGAAAACGCAATATTATCCGCTTAACTTTTGATAAGTTTTAAAAAATTCAAAATTTAATTTTACTTGTAATATTAATTACTCGAAAGTAATTTTAATTATTATTAATTTTAAAAATAGTTTGTAGTTGTAAAATAAATGGAAAATTTATCTGAACTTAATGAGAAAACGTCCAATAATATCGGATATATATTTAGTGAAAAGCTTTTAGATATATCTAGCAAAAATCCAATAATTAAAGGGCGGGTAAAGTTGTTTGCTAAAGCGTATTTAAAAATTATTAATAGAAAAATTGAAATTTCAGTCCAAAATTGTCCACAGTTTAATTAAATCTTATAATTTATTGGAAAATATTGATATTGTAAAGTCAAAGCCATCATCATATGCAGAGTTAAGAAAATTTCATTCGGAAGATTATTGTAATGTACTTAAGGAATTTCCAAGCGAAAATAATAGAGACAATTACAGTGATGAAAATACAGAAAATGAAAGTGAGGCTGAAATAACTGCTGAAGATTGTTTATCTGAATATGGTTTAGGATTTGATTGTCCAATATGGTTTGGCTTGTATGATTATTGTAAAGAAATTGCCGGTTCAACTATATCGGCATGCGAAGAAATTGTAAATGGTAGAAAAATTGTAATCAATTGGTTTGGTGGTTGGCATCATGCACAAAGAAGTCAAGCTGCGGGATATTGTTATGTCAATGATGTTGTATTAGGCATTTTGAAGCTTAGGGAATATTTTAATAAAATTTTATATATTGATTTCGATATACATCATGGTGATGCTGTAGCTAATGCATTTGAAAGTACAAAAAAAGTTGTGTGCTTGTCGTTTCATCAGTATGAACCTGGGTTTTATCCAGGATCTGGAAATGTTGAGGAAATTGGATTTGGTACCGCTAAAGGTTACACTATTAATTTTCCATATAAATCTGGTTTGCAAGGTGATTTGTTCACTGAATATTCTGTAAAGCAAGTAATTTCTTATACCTCATACTTGTTACAATAAAATAATATATTTTATAATCTCATTGCAGATTAATTCGAAATGTTGTCGAAAAATTTAAACCAAATGTTATTGTAGTACAATGTGGTGCTGATTCAATAACAGGAGATCCTTTAGGAAATTCAAATTTGAAACCTAAAGACATAACAGATTGTATTAAATGTATTTTAAACGAAAAATTACCAACATTATTTCTTGGAGGTGGTGGTTACCATTTTGCAAATACAAGTCGTTATTGGACCTATTTAACATCATTAATAAAAAATGTTGATTTGCCAGAAGATATTCCAGGTGAAGATGAATATTTTCTGAAATATTCACCTGGTTATGAGTTATCTATTCAACCCAGAAATATTAAAGACTTAAATACTAGAAAATATTTTGATGAAATAATGAGCAAAATTAAGGGTATGAATTTTACTTAAAAATTAACAAGTAAAAAAAACAAATACAATGCCTTTTTTTATTTTAGAGCAATTGAATCTGATTGAATAACTTGACTCTTCAATAAATCATTCAAATGAAAAAAAAAATGGCTTCATAAAAGATAGGTAGGTAAAAAGTTTTTATTTAAGTTTTAAAATCTTCACTAATTATTACAAATAAAATGTATACATGATTCTATCACAATTAAATTTACCTACAAATAAATGCTTATTATATGATACACGTTATATGGATGTCAGTGGAATGAAATCTAAATTGGAACTTTATTGTATTAAAAAATTTATTTTTCATAAATCTTCTTTTTGTTTAATCTTCGGTGAATTATCGTCGATTTTACCTTTATCGCCTTTGGTATCTAAAACTTCTTTTAAACATTTCTTTTCATCTGGTTTTAAAACACGTTGTTCACACAAATAATCAATTAATTGAGTGTCTTGATGTTTATAATACCAATCTTCAATTGTTTCTTCGTGATCTTCTAAAAGTACTTCACATTGTCTTCTTAATTCGGCAACTTCAACTGGTGGTTTATCCCATAATTCATATGGAATTCCAAGTTCAACTTTAACACCTTTATCAACAAGACCATGTAGAGCTTTGAATGTTTGTGGCATACCTTTTGCAAATCTTGTACTATCACCTCTTTCTTTATGCAAGTTATATTCTAATATTCTTTCACATATATTATCAAGAGATTCTATTAATCTTAATTCACTTGTTCTATATTCAGTTCTTTTCTTTGGTTTTACATCATCCAATGAATATCTGAACAAAATATTAAAGCATAGTTTCCAGCCAACTTATAATTTTTGTGTTAAATATAAAGGATAATGCTTACCCTATTTCTAGAACATCACTTGATTTTCCAGTTTCTGCTAATCTATCCTGTAATTCAATAGCAAGTATTTTACATACTTCACAACGATTTGGATAAATAACACCTTGTTTTTCCTCTGGATTTGATTCAGTTAAAACAATTGTAGAAAAATATAGAAGTAAAAAGATTTTTAATAGCATTATGTGGCTTTTTCCTCTTGATTCTTCAATTTCGTCGGCACATAGATTTTTGGCTATTTTTTGTTTATCTAATGTCAGTAGTTGTTGACAAATTAAAAAAGAAAGTATGGCGAATACTTTTATGGTTTTTTGTATAATTTGTTTATAAACAATGTTGCTAGTTTTTGTAGAATTATTTATGATTTTGATTTTGGGTACTAGAGGCGCATTTGTGGCTATAAGGATTATTTTTGGAAGTTGTCAAAAATAAAAATGAAATTTGACAGCAAATTGAGCAACTAAATTTTAAATCACAATTGTCACTTTTATTATTTGAAATTTTTCAAAATTTGTTTTTTGCTTATTAAAATTTTCATTTAAATTTGAACTCATAAAGAAAGATTTCATTCGCATAAATGATTTCTAAATTTTTCTTTTATAATTATGTAAGGTATGAAGATAAGAGTGATAGTATGTACATAATAAGTATTTACGTATTTTAATTGTGTGTATACTTTTTAGGTTTTATATAAAACGGTAGAGAAGCTGGTACATAATTGGAAACTCCAAGGCAATAATCTTTTTAATTTTATTGGTTAAATGTGAAATTTGTAAACCTTGAGCAAAGTAATTTTTAATATTATTAAATCACTTGTAATTCGGGAACAACTTTTGGTTTAAATTACTTGGATTTAGTATCATTTAAGAATTTAAGATGCAACAAACATACTGAAATACATATACATATATGTATAAATATAAACATACATTATGGCTCTTCACTGATTAGTGCCAAAGGTGGTGTATCGTCTTTATTTTATGAAACATAAGAAGAGAACATTAGCATATATGATTCAGCACTTTTACAAAATACTATTGTGATAACTTTATACCATTCATAATAATAGCATAGGAGTTATGTTCCAAATTTCTTGAGACGTGTTCTTGAGACGGGAGGACCTTTATATTTTACAGTGTTATACAGTTTCGCTCCATATGGTTTCATATGTTAAAGAAAATTTGATACATTTTCTAATTATTTCTTTTTCATTTAAGGAATTATTGAAACCTATATTAGGAGAATTTTGTTGAGTGCAATTTTTTGAAATGAGCCAAAATCATCATTAGCTTTTTCTGCTTATACAACAGCTGCATTTGTACATTGAATAGCAATCCATCCCTTACAATTATTATAAAATAACAAAGCCATAGAATTTTTCTAAATAATTTTTTTTTTATTTTATTTTTAAATATAGATTAAAAATTTAAGATTTAAATTTTTTTTTTTTTTTTTAATATTATTAAATAGAAATGAAAATTCGTTAATAATTTTGAAAATATTTTTTTTTGTTTTGGGTTTCTATTACATTTTATATACTTAACGCTATAGAAATTTTACATAAATATTTGAATTCTTAAATTATTTAAGTATATGCGTTTAATATACAATTATTATGATAAAAATTATTTTATTTATTTAATTAAATTAAAAATTTCGTTGGAAATTCATTACTTATGTATTTATATTTAAATAACTTTGGTTCTTAAAATAAATTCATTAAAAAGTTACTTATTGGCTATATTAAAAGATTTAAAAAAAAAAATAAAATAAATTTTTTATAATTTTAATATTTTAAATTGATATTTTTAGAATGATGTTTTTTTGCATTTTTATTAAAATATAAATAAAATAATTATGAAAATTATTAATTATTGCACAATAAATAAATTAATATTTTTTTTTTAAATTCTATATATGTATAATTAGAAAGATTTTTTATTAATAATTTTATTATAAAGAAATACAAGAAATACAATTATTTACAATAAATCTTATAGTAATAATTAATAATTTTAAAATATAAATTGTATATCGTTGTTTCAATATAAATTCGATATTAATTATTTTATTATAATTAATTTTATATAATATGAAAATTGGTAATTTAATTCTATTTAATATTTATTTTAAAAGATTTTGATTTTATTAAAAAAAGTAATCAAATATTATACAACAACACAGGATGTTTAAAAAAAGTTAAGATTATTGTAGCGATATCAATAATAATAGGAAATTTAGATAGCAGTTGTTAAGATTTTTTAATTAAAAAAATTCTGATGAAATTAAGTTATAATTAAATTGTAATTAAAATATAGAAAATTTAGAATTCATTCAATTTAATAAAAGTTAAGTTTGAATTTAAAATTTAAATCTTTTCGACTCATGAGATTTTATTCTACATACATAAATTAAAATTTAATTTATGCTTTAATTTTAAATTTTTTTTGTTATTGTTAAGCTTTATTTCAACATAAGGTGTAGTCAACATTTAAATGAGAACTTTGTATCTTTTATAAGAATTATATTTGATTTAGGGCAAAATTTCTTTGCACTAATATCATTTGAGTCTGACATAGAGCAGTAAATCGAAAGAATTTTTCATATTTTATTGAGAAGAATAAATTCGCCTGGAAGTGTACTCATTATAAAGCCTAAATACTTGAGATTGTCTAATTTAAAACAATTTTGGGAATATCGAAAGTCAAATTCAACCTGATAAATTAATTATATTTCGCTTATGGAGAGTATTGTAAATGGGTATTTTAATTAATATAATTAGAAATATTTAATTAAATTTTTGACCCACGGTTTAAATTGAAATTTTCTATCGAGTTTTGATTTAATAATCTAATTCAAATTAGGTTTTTAGAGATTGCAATGATTTTATGAAAAATGATTTTTATGCTAAATAAAACAATTTTTTATATTTTTGTAATATGAAATGGTCGAATTGCAAAGAAAAAAATAAAATATAATTTTTAATAACTAAGAGATTTAAATAAAAATTTTTATTTACTATAATAATTATATAATGTAATTATTTAATTTATAATTAATTTTTCGAAATAATTTAAAAATTTTTTTTTAAAATAAAAATTCGTTCTTTTCTTTTTTCTTAATTTTCTTAATATCAAATTTCATTTATTTGACAATTTGGTTCTGTTTTAATTTTTTTATATAAATAATGTTGTGGATCATTTTCAATATTTAATTCATTTGTATTATCTTGCCTTAAATCTTGTATATTTAATCGATTATTATTATTATTATTATTATTGTTAATATTATTATTATTACTATTATTATTATTTGTATTAATTTGAGATTGTTCTTGAGATTGTTGCTGTTGCTGATTATCTAAATTTGATGATGATTCAATAGTTCCACTATTTGAAGTTGATGTTCCCGATAATAAATTTGTTGTTTGTTGTGATGATAAATTTCTATCGCGATATTTATTATTTATATTCATGTTATTATTATTATTACTATTTAAATTAGATTTAAATGGGCTATCACAATTAATATTATTTTGCATTGATGGTGTACTACTTTGTAGATTTTGTAATGTTCTTACTTGTTGTAATAATAAGCCACTATTTAATAATCTAGCTTGATGTTCTTGAGCTTTAGCACGAAGACAAGCAATTGAATTGTTTCTACAAAAAAAAAAAACAAAAGTTATTATTTAATAAATATATTTAATAAATTAGAAATTGAATTAAAATTTAATTTAAAGTAAATTTAATGGAAAAAAGAATAATAATAAAGAATTTTTATGAGAAAATTTTAAATAAATTTTTTTATTATTATTTCTTTTGGCCATTAAAATAAAATACTGCTAATTACTAAAAGTTATTATTTTTAAATTAAATTACAGATTTGGAAAATAATTCTAATATAATTTTACATAACTACAAAACAAAGAGCTGGTAAGTTTTATGTCAAAATTTAAAAATAAAATAAAATTATTGTTGATTAACTTTTTCGAAATTAGCATGCTTATTTAAGAATACAAAAAATTAATAATTTTAGTGTACTAATTATTAAATTAACTAAATTAAGAATCACATTAAAATTTTTATATTAGTCAAGTTAAATGAATTTAAGATTAAAGATTGTACGGCCTGCCGTTATAAAGTGTATCGGTTTCTCAGCCCGCTAATTGTGAAAACAAATAAATTCAAAAAATTTAAGGGCTTTGAACCATTATTGTTAATATTTAATTTTAAAGAATAGTGCATATTATAAAATATAGTCTAATATTTGAGTAACTATTCAAATGAGACGGGCCATTAGAGTCACTCTTTTGATGATAATTTGTGAACTCTTTTTGTGAATTAGAGTTTTGATGACAAATTTAAAAATTATAAACTATAATTATAAAAATTAATTTTTTGGTCACAAGATTTCTTCGTTCACGGCCAAATTATATACGAGAAAATAATCTGTTTCTTAAATATTTTTGAAATTCCAAACTTAATAATAAACTAAGATTTTGTATAAGTCTATATGTAAATGTAATGTGCTATAAAAATTTTCCAAAAATTAAATAATTACAAATCTATTTTTAACAAAACACAAAAAAAAAAATTAGAATTAAAAAAAAAAACGAAAACAAAATAAAATGAAATTCACCGTATATAAGACATTGGATCACAATTGTTGTTGTAGTTGTAAACCCACCTAAAGGTTTCTGGGTCTTGTTCATAATTTGTTGTATTATTATTACCATTCGGGCTACTATTATTATTATTACTATTACCAGAATTATTATTAATATTATTTGTGCCACTATTACCACCACCATTACCACCACCACCACCACTACAATTATTACCACTTATATTAAGAGAATTTTGTTGAATATGTTGACTTAAATTAGCAGCATGTAATGCTTGTAAATGATTTATTGAATTATTATCATTTATATTAATATCTTTGAGGCTATCTCTTTCAGCTGACATTAACATTGCAGCGGAATGTAATGCAACAGCATTATTTGCATGTAAATTCAATTGTCCATTTTGATGTAAATGCATATTTGATAAAATTTGTGCTTGTGTTGGTGGACTTATACTTCCTATGCTATTTAAATTTTGACTTGTCGGTGATGCTGATGATATTGTTGTTGATGGTGTTGAACCAGAATATGATTGTGGTGGCGGTGGTGGTGATGAAACAACATTTAATGATTCCGTTGATGATGTTTTACGATGATCTTCACTTGATTTTGATAATGAATCATCATGATCACTTCCACCACTATCATCATTTTTTAATGTTTCAGCTGCTTCTAATGATTTACGATGCATACCTACATATGTATATTATATTGTACAGATTAATAATTGATTTATTTATATTAAATTTTTAATAAAATTCTAATATAAATTAATAATAAATTTTAAATTGAAAAATAAAAAAAAATAAAAATTATTGGTTAATTTATAATTGAAAATAGAAAATTTAATGTTTGGTGTGAACACACTTTAAGGATTCTCTCAAGGATTATTAACTTGTGAGATACCAAGAATTATATACAACATTTTTGTTTCTAATCCATTGGGACAGCAGATAATAAAATATTTTAATTGGTTTTTATTCTCTTTTTGTTCATCTTATTTGGTTTTGCTAGTCAAATTCAAATTATAAAGGGGTGAACGCAATGCAATGCCTTTCCAATATTTTGTGGTAATTCTATTCAATTTCGATAACATTTTTACAATATTTATTTTCTTATAATTTTTTGAAGAGTTTTCCTATCCAATTTATATATGAAAGAATATGAAATAGAATTTTCAATATTAAAATTTTTGTTGAGAAGAAAAAATAAGGCAATAAAATTTTATTGTTAAGGTTATAAAAATGAAAAAACCTTTGCAAAATACAAAATATGAAAAAGGCCAACAATGGATAAATTATTAAATAGGTAATAATCAGATCTTTATAAATGGATGAATATTATACATAGAATACGCACAGGAGAATATCTAATTCTTATTTGTAAGAATTGAGTATAGGAAAAACAGTGAAATTAGAAAATTATATTAAGAAAATATTCAGCTGATAAGCAGAGTGGGACACATACAATGTTCGTATTAAAATTTTTGTTGAATATAGAACTAGTTTAAAGCAAGAACCGCACAAGCACAATGAGAACTTATCATCTTTCGTGACTTTTTGTGACGCATTAAATGTCATTATCTGCCATTAAATTTTTAATAAGTTTATTTAAGTAGTTAACGTCCGTTGTTACCTTTATTTTGGACGTTGTTATTGATTCTTGCAATGTGCGACAATAAAAAATAGTTGTACTCTGCAAATGAGAAATATTTATAGAATTATAACGATTAAAAAAAAAATTACAATGCACGCACAAATAAAAAATCAGAACGAAGTTGAAGTAAGAAGCAAATGAAAATAATCTATATTGCTTCTGCGAATTCCTGTTTTGACTTCGTTTCTTATAAATGATTTTTCGGAGTACCGAAATATTTCTCTTAATTGTTAAGCTCCTGCAGACAGCTCTAAGTTATTTCAAAAATAAATCCGCGAAACCAGCCCGAAGATTCAGCTTGATTGTCCGTCAAAATCACAGCATTACAAAATCATTTTAACTCGCATATAGTAATTTAAACTGAGCATACACCTTGAATGTTTTGTTAATGGATTTGTGACAAGTTTAAATGAAAATTTTTGGTACTTTACAAAAGTGCGATCCTGTCGTTAAAGAAGATATGAAAAACGAAAAAAAAAAACATTGAATTTGAATTGGTCATTATAAGAACCTTGTATAAAAATATCACGTGCGTGCCCAAAAGTTTTTGATTATAGGCTTGTTTTTTCTTATTCTTTGTTAATGGTTAATGGAATAAGTAATATTTTTCGAACATTTTCGGTGTATTTAGGTGATAAGAATATTTTTTTTTTTTTAAGTAAGATTATGCATTGAAATTGTAATACAGGGATAAATTGGAATTGAAAAGGCACACAAAATAATTTCATTTTCTAATTTTCTCATAGTAGATATTATTTTTTCGTTCCGAATTATTCGCAAGCTCACATACTTGTATAATTTTATTCATATTTATATAAATGAATGTGTACGTGTAGAGAGGCTCCTGATGTTATGTATTCGGTGATATAAAATTTTTTTGTTTAATGTTTAAACAGTTTCTGTTTATGGAACAAAAAAATTTTCTATATTCAATAATATTGCGACAAAAATTCTATTATAAAAATTATATGCGTGTGGCATACCGAGGGTATTGTTTGTTTTTTTGTGGAATAAAGGTCACGTTTGTTAATTCAAATAAAGAGAAAATTGAATATTAGTAAATGTCCTTTTTGTGTATTTTTTATTTTTCATTTTGTTTCTTTAATTTCAAATTGAAATTAATAATATAATTATGCAATTAATATGTAAGGAGTTTATTTTTTCTTAAAATTGAAGTGAAAATATCCTTGTATATGTAGGAATAGAATCTCGTAATAGAGGAGATTTCCTTTGAGGGGGTTTTATTATTACAATAGGTTTTTCGGGTTGGTTCTAAGTACAATATTTTCCGAGTAAAGCCCTCATTATAATCGGCGAAGCGAATGAATATTCGCCAAAAATGAATATGAATTTTTGGTATTATGATTAGAAAATTCGCCTAAATTTTAGACAAATGAACTGCCAAATCTTTCAAATAAAAATTCTGTGTGACAAGCTTGGCGAATGAAACCAAAAATTAAAATAATATACATAATCTAGGCGAGAAAGGGCAAAAATAGCTAATTTGAAAATTTAAGAATGATATCTGATATGGGTCTAAATCAATAAAATAAAAAATAATATTCTTGTAGCGAAATTGGATTTGGGAAATTGCCACAAAATTTTGCTAGGATTTTTATAATGTCAATATCTTATCGTTTGTAGTTAAAACATGCAATTGTAATAAGTTTAATTGGAATAGATGCTACTAAACTCTTAAATTGATTTTTTGTTCTGATTCGACCATAACATAGTTGTTAATTTAAAAAAAAAATAAGGAAACAGAGGAAGAGATAATCAGAATTAAAAGAATTTTATATGAGTTCTAACTTGCTTCTAGTAAATTAGATAAAAATTAAACAGAAATTATAAAGGGAGTCTTTCTCACTAATAATTGAGATGAAAATGGAACAGTCGCTTACGTTCAATAGAATTTTGTATGTACGAAATTTAAAAATTCAATTATCATTAATTTCTTAATTACAAACAAGGCCGTGCCTTATCTAAAATCAAGTGAGTACCTTAATATAAAATTTTGAAACTCTTTATAATTTTTCAAATCACTACAAAATCAAATTAAAATAAATATTTTTTTCTACATTTTTCTATAATATAAAAAAATAATATTATAATTTATTAATTTTTTTTGTCATTTACTTTTTGCCTCCATACCTAGTAGCCAAGGTGCAACCGAATCATTTTCTTTGGCTGACTTTAGTATGGTTTCCGGTAATGGTAATGAATGTCGTACCATTGCTCCATATAATCCATATTCTGCCATAATTGTACTTCTACCCCAACATTTTTCTGTTTTACGCCATTTTGCTCTTCGATTTTGGAACCAGACCTATGTAAATACAAAAATAAAAAAATATTAAATTATAATTTTTTTTTTGTCATACGAAAGAATTTATTTTTTATTCAGGACTGTTGATTAAAATAGTAAGATTTCGTTCATAATTTTATAATTTCCTTGAAATACTAATTTTTGGCTTTTCGAAGGGGATATTATTAATAAATTTGCGTAAAGTATACAATTTATATTTTGCAAATTTTAGTTATTGCGAATTATTTAATGTAGTTTGGAAGTTGAAGAAATTTCGCCTTTTTATACTGGCAAGCATGCAAAATGCTTTTAAGCAGAAATTTATTTTAATTTCAAAATTAGTAAATTTTTAAATGTGAAATCATAAAATGGTAATAAATTTAAACTTATTATGGAAAATATACGATATGAAAGAAATTATGCAAATTATTTAAGTTAAAATTGCATATACTAAATAATTTGGTATTGTACTTCCCAACTGTAGGGTCATTTTATAAAAACAAATTTTTATTTAAGAACATTTTTAATTAAAGTCGGATATTAAACAGTTACTTCAATAGAATAGGTTGAATTTGCATTTGCAGTTCTATCTTATATCATAAAGATGTGCAATGGCAGCTCGTTTTTGCATTTTGCTGCAAAAAGCATCCCCTTTTTGTTGGTAGAACTGTAAAAGATCTTCTGTCAAATTGATAGCATACAAAAATTTTTCTGCTTTTATATTTATAACCAGGGGTGTAGTTTAATTTTTCGTAATGGGAGCCGAAGTATTCAAAAAACGAAGTCAATTTTTTTACAGCGTGTTTCGCATAAGGTGGCAAATAAGGGATGCAGATATTGAGGGGAGAGGGATGCAGATATACTCGTTTTCGAGTTACTGTACGGTAGTCTTACCTGTTAAAGAAAAGGTACCGTACTTTTCCTGCATATAAATAACTGCCTTTAACATTTGGAACCATGTAACGAAACAGCCATTAGGAGGTTATTCAACAGGCGATTGGTTGCTCTTTATTTTCTGTCTTACAATCAATTTGATTTAAGCCATAGTTTTCGTTATAGTTTTGGATAGTTTAAGCTTGTCAAAATGAGATTTTTAATTTGTTTTTTGAAATATTTTTTGAAAAAATCGAAATTTATCGAAAATTTTTATTTTTTCTTCGTTTTTTTCGATGTTCTAAAAGTTAATCCATATAACACTTTTCTTTATCTCTCATAGTTTTGCCAGTAAGACGTGTTAAATGTGTTTGAAAAACATGCAAAAAATTCAATCAATTTTATTCAGTGGAGAATTAATTTTGTTGAGAGAGTAGAGAGATTTATTGGAGAGATTGCAGCAAAATTTTGGTTGACAGCGCTGTTTTACTAGTTCTATTGCAGTGCAGTTTTAACTGAATAAACGCGAATTCAGCCGCATTCTTTTTATTGGATTAGCATTCATTATACGCATTTAATTAAAGCAAATAGAGTCCTTGCGAAAATTCTTCACAGGACGCAATGATATCTAAGTAATAAATTTCATTTCACGCACATACTCCTAATTTAAACGACAAAACTATAATTTCGTTTACTAACGAGACGAAAACATTTATAAAATTGGTGTTAGGGCTAGATCTTTTCACTACAAATGGAATATGAAATTTTTCATTCCAAATTCACTTTTTAACTTTTAGTTCTTTAGTTTTATACCGCTTTTATGCAAAAATTGAAACGGGTGTGCATTGAAATGGAAAAATGTGAAAATGTGTTAAGTGAAAATATCATGGAAATTATAAAAATATGATTTAAAAAATGTTAAGAGGGAAATTTTTGCAAATAATGTCAACTATATGTTCCGAGTTTTTGTTATTTTTCAAGTTTATTTAAAAAAAAAAATTATTATTTTTTTCATTTTTAGTTCATAAGAATGAAAAATTGTGTAAATTAATCCGAGCTACTTTAAAATAATTTAAATTGTAGACTTTATATAATGCTATATATTGAGTATATTTAAAAACAAGATGTTACGAGACATCGCCAACGCTATTTTGTATGTCCGTAATGATGATATACACAGGGATTTCAGGATCCTTAGTGTCGAAAACGAAATTAAAACACAAGCAGCCAATCATAAAATTCGTGTTCTTGAGACATCTGGTTGATAATTAAAACTTTTTTGGGAGACTTAAACGTACGAGACCTCTCGAGCTTAATGTTTTTTATCTGGAACAACAAGTTCCTAGTACGACGTCGTGGCAAATCAAAAACGAATGAAGTTTTAAAAAAGTCAAAGCAAAATTAACGGTTAGTTGTTTTCGACTAGTTTTATTGATTAAATGTTGTGGGTGTTTTTTGGTGTGTTAGAGTCTCTCACTACTGCTCTTTGGTGTATTAGTGTCTTTGGAGATTTTCATCTTTCGCACGGCAAAAAGAAAAAAGAATACTGAGTAAGAAGGAGTTAGAAAGATTAAAATGGAGAAAACTAATTTTGAACTTTGACAAAATGGTAAATTTTGTGCACGGAGCAATGGAATTAAATTTGTGTTCCAATTTTTAAACCCTCTTCATGCACGGGCCAATAATTATCGCCTTTTATTATGAAAATCACATGTATTCTAACTATTTATTCTAGTTTGTGTTTGATTTTTCTTTTAGCTGAAGAAACAAAGATCAATAAAAAATGGCAGGTAGTTAGTAATTTTAGCAAGTTCGTCAAATTCGATTGGATTTTGAATTATGTACAAAAAAAAATTTGTAAATTTTAAAAAAGCGTTTAAAATTTTTTTTTTGTAACTTTGTTTTTAGTTGTTTTGGCAAAATTTAAAATTTTATTGGCCGTAAAGAGTTTAATGATTCGGAAATTAATATTCGATTAAATTTTTTCCATTAAATTTAAACGGGTTGTAAGGGAGTTTTTTAAATGATCATTTAAAGAGAGCAAGCAGCAATAACAAATCCCTTAAAAACATACGAATTATTCGCGAATAATTCAAAGCTAAAATAAAATTTTTTAATTCATAATTAAATGAAGAGGTTTAAGTGCACTACAGTTATATTGTGTTAAAGCAATAAGGGCTTTACAATTAATATTTAAACAATTTTTAATTTAAGCGACCTAGGGCGGATTCTAGAGTATGAGTTTTAAATCCGAACATTTTTAAAGACATTGTATACAGAATAAATCAGTAACAGGTTAAGAACCATATACCATCATAGATAGAGGGTAAAAAATAAGTAAAATTTTTATTCGGAACATAGTGTTAAATCGGAACCGTTTCTTAGCTACAGACATTTTTAAAAAATTAGGCGAAATTTTAAAATAGCAAGGTATATAACTTCCGTTCCGAAATAAGTAAAGACTTCAAATAAGCGGTTTTTGAATGAGATATTAGAGGGCTAAAAAAAACAAGAATTGCAGATTATTTGATTTTACATATTTTTTTTTTTGGAAATACAAGTATTTGGACTTCCAATTTCAATTGGAAAATTTGCTTCATCTTTAATTTTTTTTCCTTTTCTTTTTGACCCGACAATTTCTGATGAAATTTTTTGAAACTATCAAAATCTTTTTTATAAAATTATGTCCAGCTAACCTAAGGTTTAATTTAAGTCATTTAACGTTAAAAAATCTTTTATGGTACGGGAGATATAGCAAAAAAAATTATTGCTATGTCAAGTTTTTAAAGGCTCAAATAAAGTGTAAAAAATCAAAAAATTGCTACTAATTTTGATTTTTATCGATTTTAAGTGAAGCAATTTTACTCATTTTTTTATCCTCTATCAGATGGAGTATACCTCCGTACTTGTTGCTGAATCACCCTGTATATGACTTAAATTTATTTTAATTTTTAAAATTGTTTGAATCACAATTTCGGGAATTCAAAATTTTAAAATTGAGCAATAATTATTAATTTCTTCTAAATTTTATATTCAGCAAAATTACAACATTAAAATTATATTATCAAAAGATTTAGATTTCTTTACAATATGCCGCAATTGCATTGAATACAAACTCCTTAAAAATTAGCCAGTCTTCTTCGGATAAATTAAATTCTTTAGATTATCATGTTAAAAATGACCAAAATAATAAAAGCGCAAGTATAAAAATGCTTTTATATAACTATTAACTAAATTTATTATAAATTTTATTTATTATATTAAGAGTCTATATATGTTTTGATTTTTCATTGAAACTATATACAAAAACTATCATTTTATCCTTTTTGAAATAACAATAAGCACCCTCTTATTTAATTTAATATTTTGCTTGAATATAAAACACCATCCCTTTTATATATTATAATACAAAAAAAAATATATTAGGAAGAAATTTTTAATAGATTCATTGGGATGGGAAAGACAGTATAGAAAAAGGAAATGTACTACCACATAATTGCAAAAAAAATATCCCTTTTAATTTAATTTATTTAGTGTACGGAAAGTTAGACAAATATTTTACAATATAAGCGTCTCCCTATAACTATAATATTATGGCTATTTAATCATTTCATATTATCACAACTATATTTGTGAATTTGGAAGGTATTATTAAATTGTTTACTCTGTTTGTAATGTTTGAGAAAAAGAAAATAGTGTGAGGGATTAATAATCCATTTTGCTCTTGTTAATGTGCTGTAATGAGTAATATCGAATTTGGACGAATTTCTATAAATTGTACTTAAATGTTACTTAAATATGCATAATTGCTATACAATCTACATTTATAATCGGACACAATGTTTCAGCATTCTCAAAATTAATATGCGGTAAGAGAATTTTTTGATATTTGTGTTCCAGCTTTCGAACACAATTTAATATGAGAATAAAATTTTATAGAATTGCAAAAAAAATGGAATGTAAATGATAAGATACTTTGCAATTCGATGTGTAAGCAAATTTCTTTTTGATGTGATATTTTATAGTGTTACACTAAATTAATTTGGAATTAATAATATAAAAATTCCTTCTTCAAAGTGTATTTTAATTTGAAAAACAGAAAATTTTACTCAGACGATCTATGACATAATAGCGTTTCAAACTTTCAC